AAGTCATTATACAATTACTTTCAAAAGGCACATATTTGAAGGGCTGGAAGTCAGCAATTGCTTACAAGCAACAAGAAAATGCAAGACATTAAAAAAGTAGAGTACCTACTTCCCTCTTGACAAATGAGGTTTAATTAAATTTGTAATAGAAGGCAATAAGAAAAGGAAAGGAAAAACAAGCAAAGGACACCGGGGTCACCAGCAAAATGCAGCAAGTCCTTCGAAAGCAACACTAGATAATACTGTAAAGTTAGTGCAAGTGATTTTAGAAATGAAAATTAAGATAGAAAGAACAGATACAGTAATATCCTCAGGAAAGCCTACAGGGTAAGCAATGTAGCACTGCTACTGTCTGGAAGCATAACAGTATAACTAGCACACACTGAACTGCACGCAGTCCAAAAAACCTTCAGAAAACAGAAGTGGTTGGGTTCTCATCTCTGTAAGAAGTTTTGATAATCAGAAATACAGCAATTATATTTCTGAGTTTTGTTTTTTCCCCACCTGCGAGTCTTCTCTTCACCTGCTGATGGATTAGTTTTCACCTCTGTGAGACAGCCCTAAAACCAATGATTCATAGATACTCTGAAAATCTGACAATAATTACAAACACAATTGGAAGGAGACAGCACTGTTAACACGTAAAAAGTAGGTTTGTTTCTTTTAAGGAGTGCTACCATTATAATTAATGTTCCAGTAACATTTCCTCTAGGAAATGTCTCACAATCACAAGGCCAGCTGTTGGGCATGCTCCTTCAGTTCTTGCTCCCATGAGACACTGACATCTACACCTAATTTAAATCAAATGAGGAGCCCCTCTGTAGCATGACACAGAATATTTACTTATATAAGTGTAGGCAATCACTTTGGTAATCTGCTGAATCAGGATCTTTGCTACAGTTTTGAATCATTTTGAGATAACAGTCACAACAGAAAGATCAAGGAAATAAAAAGAAATGGAAAGAAAGGTCAAACATAAGTGAACAGAAACTTCACATAATGTGTTCTTGCTTTGGTAAGTTTGAGTTCTTCTAAATGACTGGAGTCTTCGCCTTGCTGGTTCCACAAACCATCACCTCTGCTGCACATTCATAAATGAGCTGGAATTTAATAATAATAGCAATTGCAAAATTCCCCTTTGCCTTTTGAAAGGAAGAGTGTCTTTATGAGAAAACAGATTTTTTTTCCAGCAAACAATGGATTTCTTCGAAGATGCCAACAGCATGTGAATCAAAACCAGCCAGGAGGTAGCAAGTTTAGAAGAAACAGAATCATAGAATGATTCAGTTTGGAAGGGACCCTTAAGATCGCCTACTTCCACCCCCTTGCTATAGGCAGGGCCACCTCTCACTAGACCAGGTTGCTCAAAGCCCCATCCAGCCTGGCCTCATATGCCTCCAGGGAGGGGGCATTCAAAGCCTTGCTGGGTGAATAAGTTTGAAATGCATTGCTCCCATTTCAATCCATTCCTGGTAGTTCCCAAATACATTTTTTTTTTATTTTTTTTTTTAACCACTACAAAAATACATGCACTTTATAAACAGGAACAATGACTGGCAAGCCTAGAGGAAGAAAGGGACTCTCTAATCTCTCCTTAGGCAGTATAAACAACGTTCTTCCACCTCTGAAAGCTCTTAGTTAGAAACTAATGGATGAACGGAACAATAATGTCGACTAAGAAAAAAATAAAGGAGAAAAAGGTCCTCTGAAACCAAATAAAAGGTTGTTTTTCCCTGTTTGATGTTTCTGATACACTTCAGCGACACAGAAAAAAGTATCTGGACAAGCCCAACAAAGGCCCACTTGTGCTGGTAGTTATTTGACCAACTAATGGCACTTAGAGGGAAAAAGATAAATCCGAAATGAATCTGCTACACAATATAAAGTGCAAAGTATATGCAAAATTTTGGTGGTAGCTCTGGGTTAAAGCAACTGGTGAAACGTCACAGCTCCAGACAGTTAATAAGGTGACTGAGTAGGTCACATTCACTTTCAACAGGACAATTGCCAAAGAAAGGAAGCTATTCTGCCCTGAAAGAATACGCAAGAGATTGTCTTGTAAAAGACATATCTTCATCCAGGTAGTCTAAAGAAACCTGTATTAATAACTAACTGAGTAAATCAGACTCCTGCTAGAATTATGAAAATCAAATAGGATTTTCTGAACACTGGGATGTAGACTGCCCCAAAACAGACACCGTGGTTACAAATACCTATTTTTATTATTGAGAATAGCAAGTAGCAATGACAGAGGGAAGCATTAGGTGAAGGATCATTCACATTTATTTAATTTGTATGTAAAAGCAGACTGAATCCATAACAGATGCCCTCTGCCTTGTGCCACCATGACACTTGCTAAAAATGGAAAACAACCAGTGCAGACCAGTGGTAAGGAGCAGGTGGAGAATGACTTTTGGACATGATGGGCTCATCTCCTCACTTGCAAAATTTACAAGTAAGTCATATTCAGCACAGGGTACATGAAGCGTGATGCATTTCTCTGGAGGTCAGTGCAAATACACTGCAGATATACATGGCCTTGCACACCACTGCGCTTCACCTCCCGATCCCTCTCCTTGGTAGTTCTGCTGTTCTGAAGCTCAACACCAGGTACAGTATCTCGATAGAAAAGTTTCATGCTACACAATTCTGATTTGATCCAGTTCCAACGTGCATCGTTCCAACTGTTTCAACAGGAAATTAATCACCACAGTGCATATGTACCGACAAGGCTTCTCAAGAGGCACATTCCCCATCCGCCTCCTGCCCTCCACACCTGAACAACAAATACACAGGAGCCACAGCTCCCCCATTGTTCAGCAATCCATTCCTCCGCACCCAAGGCTCACCGAAGCAGCACACCAAGCCAACCCGGGCCGCTCACTTCAGCCTGGCACTGCTAATGTATGCAATTACGCTAATCTATGGAGAAGGCTGTCAGTGGAAACCAAAGACGAGAGCGTCAGCATTCCAGGCGAATGCACCGCCCGCAGCCTGGCGCAACAAAAAAGCTCTTCAACATACCAAATTGGGCTCCTCTGAGCTGCCGGAATTTTGCTTGCTTCAAGAGGAATTGCGGCACCGACTGCCCTGTGTAGGGAGGTCATGCAGAAGGCCAGGAGGCCGAGCCTTCTCACACCTCATGGGGACAGCTCGAGAAAGGCAGGGCTCTTCGTTGCAGGAAATGAAACTGTGATTTACATGAAGATAACTGGCTCCAGCCCCAAGTTACGTGCTACAGATCTACCATGAGGACACAACACAGATAGCATATCTTGCTCACAAACCACCCAACCGGCATCACCCTGCTCCCCTCGCTCAGGTGACCACTGGGCTTTTTTGTTTAGTGTCAGCCACAGCTGGTGAGGAGGAAGCATGATGAGAGGTAATGGCCTCAAGCTGTGCCAGGTAAGATTCAGGTTGGATACAAGGAAAAATTTCTCCTCTGAAATAGCACTGAGGCAGTGGCACAAGCTGCCCAGGGAGGTGGTGCAGTCACTGTCCACAGAGATGTTCAAGAACTGTGAGGATGTGGCACTAAGGGACATTGTTAGTGGGTACAGTGGGAACAGGCTGGTGGTTGGACTGGGTGATCTTAGTGGTCTTTTCTAACCTTAGTGATTCTGCAACACCTCCGCTGCTGCCTCTCCATGTCCCAAGCCACTTTCAAGCCTGTATTTTCTGCCACATCTCAACCACCCTGCCAGGGGTGATGCCATGCTGCTCTGTGGTAAAGGTGCTCATGATTCAACAGCATCACTCCTGATTTTTTTTTGCAGGAAATGAACATATTGGTGCTTGTGAAAGGCTGCTGGAGGATCTTTAGCAATATGCTGGTGTGTCAAACACAGAGCAGTTGCAATACAATAAAAAAAACCTAAAATTAAAAACTTTCACAATCCGTTTACAAGACCACCTAAAAAGAGAACGTACAGTAGTCAGCATAACATAACAATGCACTCTGCAATTTTTCATGACTGGTGAGAAAGAACCACCAAGATGCCTGTTTAAAGTTTGCTTATTTGCCTGTGTAGGCACAAACATGTGCAGAACCAAGAATGACTCAAAACGATTAAAAGCAACATGCTAAAAGCAAAATGAATAAGTCGTACACCTGAGGAAATGAGGCCTTGCCAGCTGACACCTCCTCACCACAAAAACATGCTCATTCACTCAGACCAATAGTAAGACTCCGCAAGAAACAGAAGGAAACTTTATGTGCAGTTCTTTCCTATCTACATGTAGAAACCAGCCAGCAGGAAAAAAAAAAGAAAAAAAAAAAAAAAAAAGGAAGAGGAAGAAATGCACGAGATGTTACAGAACTTTTTCATCTCATTAGTACTCTCTGTACATAAAAAGGAAAAAAAAAAAAATTATTAACAACCAGGTTACCAGAGACCACATATTTTGCATGGAGCCTTAAACACCCCACTAATATTTATACTTCATTACCATCTGATTTAGAGCACCCGGGAGGGGTGCGAGGGCTGTGTGAAGGAAGAGAGCCCCCAGCCCGGCTGCCTCCAGTCCCCGCCGACGGGGCCGCACGCCGGCTGACCCCCAGAGCTGGGCATCCTGCAGGCAGGGCTCAGTGCTGCGCTGATGCTCGCTGAGCTGAGCTCCCACGGAAACTCCTCCGCACACCCAGAGCCTAAGCGTCCACTCCAACCCGCATCCGGCTCGCCTCACACCATCCCAAAGTAGCGCTGCCTTACAATCGAACACGCCGAACCCCAAATCTCCACAACCCATCAACCGACTGAGCAGCCAGGAGCGGTGCCGGCAGCCTCCCGGCTTCAGAAAGAGCCGCTCCCCCCGGGGCCGGTTCCCCGCAGGGAGGTCGGGCCCCACCTGCTCCGCGCCCCCCCCCCTCCCGGGCCCCGCCGCCTCTCCCTTCCGCCCCATCTCCTCTCAGCCCGCCGGTGTCGCGACATCCCTGAGCGGGACGGGGCCGAGGGGGGACGGCGGAACCGACCTCGCTGCGCCGCGCGGGCCCCTACCTGTGCGCGCCCGCCGGCCGCCCGGGCGCCGCCGCCTCCTGGCGCGGGGGGCTCCTAGCGAAGAAGCGGGAGAAGGCGCTGGGCCAGGAGGGACCGGCCCGCCGCCGACTGCCCCCGCCGGACATCGCCGGACCGGGGAGGGGACGCAAATAGCCGCCAGCAGCAGCCCGCCACCGAGTCCCCGCGGCGGCAGGCGGCGGCCCACGCCTCCCTCCGCCCCGGCGGAGGCGGCCCGTCCCGTCCCAGGGGCGGGGCCACCCCTCAAGCCCGACCCGGCCCGAGGTGGCCGCGCTCCGGTTACTGCCCCCGCAGGCAGACAGGCACGAGCGGGCCGTGGGCGTTAAGGTCCTGCGCGGGTATTGGTGTGCGAGCGCGAGATGCGGGAGGAACGAGCGAGCCTGCTGCCGCGCTGCAGCCACCGGCTCCAGCCCGTTTGCAGCTTTCACTTGTGCCAACTTTCAGATGCCGCACGTGTCTGTGCGTGCTAAGTCGGTAAGCAGCTTCACTCGGCTCGAGGGGTGCCACATATCACACAGGCCCCACACTTGTATTAAAATCAAAGAGTACGGCACTGCAACCATGTTAATGCCCACCTCAGCTGCATGAAAGTGGCTGACATGGAGGAAGGGTGTTTCTCCTGCCTGTTGGGAGTTATTTCTTCCTAATAAGGGATTTTTTATTCACTGACGTCTTCATTTAATGGCTAGACTTGATGACTTTATGGGTCTTTTCCAACCAGGAGTCTAGATGATTTTTCTCCCTCTATGAGGACTGTGTCCTTCCTCAAGTTAACATCAAACTCCTCCTACCACTAGGGACAACCTTGCCCTTAGAACAACCCAGGGATGAACAGAAATATTAGCCTTATTTTACATATAGGAGGGCGGTGAACCTTAACAACTCACTGTCTGCAAATCACTTGTAAAACCAACTGACCTTGATATCAGAAGTTTTAATACAGAGACATGCTTTCGTCCTCATCCCAATGAACAAGCCTGCATGTCTTTGTGACCGCCTCCCTGCCTTTTCATGCGGTGCTTTTTGTATCAGCGTCCAAGACAGGGAGCAGACAATTTTCTCCAGGATGCTCCAAAGCCAGTACAAGTCTATGAAATGTATCATGACAGAAAATTATAGAGGAAAACTCACTACATTTTGAGAATACTTACACACAGCTGCCCAGTCTCGGGAAAACAGCAATCAGGGCCACAACCATAAAAATGTAACAGGCTCCCTATGGAACCTTAAAGAGGTAAAGATACTCCCTTTACAACCAAAAGTAATCAAGGCTCCAAAATTGAACTAAAAGAGTGGCAATTTACTAAAAGCAATTAAATGGAACTGCACAAACAGGATGCAGTGAGGCTTCAGCTCCCAGTGACTCTGTTACTTGGGATTCTTCCTCACCACAGACATCTCACACCTTCCCCACCTCTTGCCTAAGTCAGACCTAATCCCTAGCTGTAGTAAACCTGAATACAATAATTAGCACTTACAAAGCATCCGGTAACTTCAAATAATTTCAGCATTAATTGATCCTCATAACCACCTCAGGATGTAGTTAAGTACAGCAGGACACGTGGTTTGCACACACTCAGAGGCAGCCAAAGCACTTAGTTGCACCCACACCATGTCAGTGGAGGGAAACTGCTCTCTTCTGCTCTGCAGCACTCACATGCAGGTAATGCTGCATTGCTCAGGTAGGGAACCACTAAAATACAGCTGAAACATGGGTGCAGAGAAGCAGCAGCCCAGCCAAGGCTGTGTGGCTCTATCTGTTTGGTGGACTGAAGTGAAAACTAGGGGAGGGATGTAGTCTTAATGTCACCAAGCCATACATTTTCCCTGCAAGCACATTTTAGCACGACATATTAAATAGCAAAAAATAAAAATAAAAATAAAAATTTTAGTCTATCTTGGCTACTTATTAATAGGCAACCCCATTTTCCAGGTTCTTACAAAACATCTATGTTGGACAAATTGCAATAATGAGCGCTCCTGTACTTTTTTCCCCTCTGTTTATAATATATTATGGCAAGGCTTCTAATATGCAGTGTGACACAATAAATTAATACATTACATGCTAAGGATGTAATATTTCCTTGCAATTTCAAAAGACGTTAGCCTGAAAAAAATATTATCATGAAGCATGTTAGCAGGGATTTATAGGCTATACTGCCTATCTAGCTATGACCTTTTGTTGTAAAGCATGCACTCACTGTCCAGCTTCCAGCAATATGGATCCTTTAACTACAAACACACTGTTCCTCCATTTGATTTGCTGAAAATTGTTTGAAAGAGTGACACATGGGCAGCTGCTATTGCTGAAACGCCTTGGTGTCTGCAGAAGACAGCTGAAAATGGCTCATGGTATTAACAGTAGTTACTGAGAGCCCTAGCTGTATTCTTTATTATATTGGAGAATGCTTGCACACTGTGCCACTTGTGGCCAAAGTTTAGCATGCTGATTCAAATTCCTGAACCAGCTTTTCAGAAGCCTTCTCCTATTTGTTCTCCACACAATCCTTTGCGAAGTTTACATGCATTATGCAGCAGTACTAAAATGGAAAATTAATTGTAGAGGTCAAAAAAAAAATTAACAAGGACCTACAGAAGCTCTTTTAGGGTAAACTTTCACTATGCCTGGGGATTAAGCAAAAAGGATTTGATAACCTTGCATTTTAGTGAATCTTACACAACCAGACTCCACCAGAATAGAACCAAAGTCATTTTCTGTTAATTCCAACAGAACATAGAACTTTCTTCTAATTAGCACGGCTTGTTTGGAAGGGTTTCCAGATATTTCTGATAGAAACTCATATCAACTGCACTTATGTGAATACAAATATGAAACTCATTTGTGCTCTTACTGATGCTAACCTTTGGAAAATACCATACCCTAACCAGAGCTCAGTGATTCAGCATTTCATTTAACAAGGTCTATGTTATGATAACACTTCCTTGCTATACACTGTCAGCCTGACAAGAACAATGATACAGAACCAGCAAGTTCTACACTGTGCTTTCTTCAGCATTTTTCTTCCTGGAGCATCTTTTACCTATTAGATTTTTGAATATATACCTTTCTGAAGAAGTCTACACACTTTGAAATATCACATCACTGATATTGTAAATACACTATTTGCATACATATACGTAAAAGTACATCTTTCAATTTGCAGATTTGCCTTTTTCACTTGTGTTTCACGGCTTTCTAAAAATTAGTTCCTGGACCCCACGGCTTGCTTGAACCACTAACAGAGAAACACTGTCAGAAACACACCAATCCCTATGCCAACCTTACTAGCTTTTACAATGCAGAATACTTTTTAATCTCAAGGCCTTTTAAAAACATTACTCAAAAAGGTTTGAAAATTAAAATATCTACCAAAAAAAGTAAGTCCTTACCACCATCACAGCAAGTGCATTGTATACTTCAAAGGGAAGAAGAATTTTTAGCATCTTGTAGAAAGCAGTGTGAAAATCTCTTGAGGACTGAAATCAGACCGCTCTCTACCAGGTAATCCCTACCAATTCAAATCAAACAGGATCATAAAAAGTTTCAGCAGCATATATTGCAGAATCCCATTTATCTAGCTTCACAGAACAACTTAGTTTCCTCTCCATTTAAACTTCCAGAACCAGAGATGGGAAAAAGAAAAAAAAAACAACAGCAAAAAAAGGACTTTTTTCTTATGGATTCATACATTGTTCCAAACTGACAGTAAATAGCTCAATCTCATTACAGAACAAAACAAAAACAGAACCTAGTTCTTCGCTGAAGAGTACACACAGTGTCACATAATAAATAATATGCATGGCAAACAGAAATAGTGTAAGAAAGATATTAAGTCCAAGTCAGCAAGAATGCAAGGGATCTTTAATCAGACTCTGCCAGCTGGCTGGTTAAACAGCAGTACAACAGAACATTCAGATTTGCCCTCATACTCAAGAAATGAATTTCTGAAAGATCCTTGTTTCCTCCTACTTGTTGGAAGGGGACTTTAACTAACTAGAAATGCATACATCTCTACTGCCATATTTAAGGATGTACTGGAAACATAACAAGGTTATGTGTGATGTTTCTGTTCCATAACCAAGCAAAATAATGCATTCGTTACAAAGATAAGAACAGAAAGAGGGAAGAAGCTGAGGTTATGTAATAAATCTATCACTTTAAAATCATCATTTCTACTTTGTCACTGGTGTACTTAACTAGAACAACAGTTAGGTAAGCCTTCTGGTTCTGATCAAGGGCATTACAGATACCTCACAGGATTCTCCGCAAAATAGTCTCCAAAGTTTTGAAGTTTCAAAAATTTTGGTGCTTCTCTTTCAGACCTTAGAACCAACCAACTCCTCTCCTGGAGAAAAGAGAAATCTCTGAGGTAGAAAAGAATTAAATGTCTGCAGAAAACACACAATATATACACAGGTTGGAATGAAGCTCAACTGTTACCTGTTTATAGACAGCCATAGATATTTTGGAGCGTGGTAAATAATAGTTGATTATTCTTTCTTCCAGAGAAGTTGTATATTTTAACAGTAGCTATTTATTTGCTTATAATTGCTTGTGTTCAGCTAAGAAGTCTCAGCAAATTTGATTCAAATCTGATGCCATAATTACAGGCTTTCCATTTCTTTCAGTCATCTCTGCATACAGCTGTAAGCTTTTCTCTATATCAGGAACTGACTGAAGCACTTATATTTAGTCTGATGGCAACACCAGATCAACCGCCATTCACTTATGCCCTGCACGAGTCAAGGATTTACTTACTAAAATGCTTTACATTATAGGATGACAGAACAGCCACCTTAAAGTAAGCACAGGAAATACTAACGTGCTTTAGTGCATCTTTTCACCGAAGTTTTGAGTGCTTTCTTGGTCCATTGCATGATGTATCAGAGTAGGCAGAGAACTGACCAGTTATGAAATGGATGAAAGGAAATTTGGAACCTAACAATATTTCTGCAACCTAAACTAGCTGACTTTGGATATGTATGTTTTATTTTCCCGAATCTGTAATTCCATATGAAAGGCCTGTATATACGCTGCTACTGTTAAGTCTGTCTTGAAGTGGCTGTTACGCAGTTGCTTTATGTATTGTTCTTATTTTTTAATGGCATCAATTACAGAAATACTAAAGCTCAAATATCAATTGCAGCATGCAGTAATATTGTCCAATCACTGGATTGAATTGATTTTCAGAT